TAATAATGATAATAATAATGCTAATAATGATGATAATAATAACCTTTATTATCAAAAGTGTAACTTTCAGTATGCACGAATAAAATAAAAATAATCACAAATGTGAAAAAGACAGGAAATTAGATTTAATATTAAATACAGAAAATGGAGCATATAAAAGAAAAAAAAAACTATTTGATCAATAATTATAAAACGATGGAAATTTATTGGAATTTTAAATTATCATACGAGGGCGCTGAAAAAAGCAGATTAAAACTTTGCAGGCACCTAATAGCTTCGAACTCACGCGCGGACTCCCACATTATTCCGCGAGATAAAAAAACTTTTCCTCGACGACAGCCGAGAGAAAAAAAAAGAGAAAGAGAGAGAGAGATCTCGTCGATAAAATCTCGCGTTAAATTTTGCAAGCTGGGGAGAATTTTATCCTCGACGAGAATATAAAGTATCCCGAACCTCTCAATATTTTCTACTCTGAAAAAAAATGTTGAAGCGCTTAGTAGGCTAATTGGTGATTCGGCGATTCGCCGAATGATCGTCCTTGCAGGAAAATTGGCGAGGAATCAAGTCGGCAGACGGGGGTAGGAAGAAATTCGCCCGTCGGACCGGCGAATTGTTCTCTGCAACGATAAAACGCTCATCACGGCCGCAGTAAAAGATCCGGACGGGAATCCTGGGAGATCCTCGGGAATCCTTTGAGATCCTTGGAGATCTCCGCTGCTCTCGGGCGTCGCTTGTGGAACCCTCTTCGCGGCCACAACAGAGCCGCGGAAGGTACACGCGCGCGGCCACCGCGCATAAAATTTACGACGTTTAAATTTCGGCCACACCGCATTTATCGTGGCGGCGGCAGCGGCGGAGGCCGAATTTCTTCCCGGGGACGTACGTCAAAGCGCGGCCTCTTCGACGACCGCTTTACGAGCGGTGGCCGCGCCGTTTTGGCCGGGGAATAAAAGCCGTGACGCGGCCAGTCGTTTCGTAGACCACCGGAGGAATTATTAGCGAGCGGTGAGAATTCGCAGCGATAAGTTATCGCGCCGCGCGAACGTTATTTTTCGTGTCGCCTTGGAAACGGTGTGTCCTTTCGCAGCGCGCGGATTCGCCGACACGTTACGGTCTTAATCGACGCGACGATTTTTTATGCGCGCGATCGCGAAATTTCTCAAAAATTCCCTCGGCTCCTACATAAAAATGACGCGCGAAGCACTGCCCTTTGTTTAAATAAATGATACGAAAAGCAATTATGTATATATAATCCCTCTGTAGAGGGATGGTTTTTTTATACAAGAAATATGAAAAGGATAGTATAATCGCCTGCACGTTAGTGATTGCTTCTACGTCATCAATATTTTTTGGAGTCCGTCGTTCATTTTAGCATCCCCTTAAGCCCGGCCTCTGTTCCTCTTCTCTCTTTTTCTCTAATCGAGCCCCGGGTTATTTATCTACTCCCATGACCATGGCGAGATGTATGAAATAGAGGCGACATTAAGGACCGGCATTCTTTAAGAACGGCGAGTCCAGCCACATGTTATGACTCTGTCTCTCTTCTCTTTTGACGCGAGTTTTTCATGCAGATAATGTCCTGGAAGGTACCGTTCCGACGTTTTGTTTTACGACGGCCACTTCGACGGCTCCCTCGTCGAATCCAAGATAGATCTTCGATGTCTGACCATGTCCTTATCTGGCAACAGTCTCAGAATTCGTCGGGATTAATGGCGTGTCTCCTTGTGAGAGCCTGTAGATTAGACAAATATCGTCGGTTTGTCGAGGAAATAGCCGACAACGACATCTGTCGCGATGAGGGATTCGCGCGCAACATAAGATTGCAAAAAACATTCTTGTCCTATTCTTGTCCAATCTATTTTTGTCCTGTTTTTCTTCTCCACTTCGCTCAAACGCATTTTTATTCCAATGCACATTTAGACAGAATAAAACACCCAACTATTGACATCCCCTTAGCTTATCGACATTCTAGAAATAATCAGGTTTTTCATGCAACTAGCATTGTAGTTGAACTTTTTGCCTGTATTCAATGATTCCAAAGAAGAGCTTTAAAACTGAAACTATGAACAACCGCTATTGATCGTAGGAAAAATTAAGTTCTTCTAGAATGTTAAAGACTAAGAAGTCTAATAATTGAGAGTGCCAGTAACTGAGTGTTTTATTTTATCTATTTAGAAATTTAACTTATAATCCTGATCATATTCATTGTAATCAGTTATCTGCTTTGTGCAAAATAATGCGTTACCAGGTTTTGATGAACAAGAATGAAAAATAACTAATTAATTAGTTAAAAGTCACACAATTTAATCCACGATTAAAATTTTAATTATGCAAAAATCATATATAATGTTTGATGTAATTAATTTTTAACTTTGATAAGTTAATTTAATTTTAACTTCATTTAAATTTTGATTTTAATCTCAACTTCATTTTAATTTTAGTTTTAATTTTAATTTATTAGTTTATTTATTATTAGTTTAATTTTAATACAATTCAAAATTTTACCTTTTAATTTACTTTTTAATTAAGTTATTTTTTTATGTAACTTTTAGCTTAATTAATTTAATTTTTTAAATCATCAAGCTAAACTTAATTTAGAAAATAATAATTCAATTCATTTAAACCTGCTAAAAAAATCATATAACGTAGTGTAGCAATCAGAATCTTATTGATAATAAGAAGTCTGTTTCTTTTCGAATCACTTCTTAAACTGTACAAAATGTACTTGTTTCATCCTAACTTATTGCATCTGTGCTCACTAGTTCAGTAAGAATTCGAGAGAGCTCGAGAAGTTCGAGAAAGAACAGACAGAGGATTATTAATGATAGAACTTTATTAATAATAGCCGACATCACCAAACCAGGTAACTGATTGGGATCGACTAGAATCAGGACCGTGGGATAAATTTCCAGTCGTTTAGTAACACTCAATCGCACTGCGAGTTTGTTTTCGCAATTATTATTACGTGTGCGAAGCGTGATTCGCGTAAACGGTAAGCGGAACGATATACCATCAGGGTCGCGAATCGACGTCGCGCACTTCTATTGTTTCGCATTCGTCACGGCTATTGTATCGCGCGTGCCATATCGATCGACGTAGGCGCTGGTCCGCGATTTTTACGGATCGGAACGCAGAGCTGGCGCGAGTCCAGTGCGCGTACATACGCAGCGTGTGGAAAAATGTCGCTTCAACGTTTGCCTGCATCCGCGACTCTGTGTGATTGAACAGAGACAGGCGACCAAAAAAATTACGCACGAATTTTCCCCACAAAAATCAGACAAGTAACATACAAATAACGCTACACAGCGAAGCTCAGAATTCATTATCATAATACATTCGTGTTTCATATATAACCTTTGATAATCTAATTAAAATAACCGGCCACTTTGACGAGTCAATGAGTCGTACACGAACGGCAGCGATCCTTCCGTTCGCTTTGCGAATCGATTTAATAATAACGAAGCACGGGCTTGATTATCATCGGCATGTTGATATTCGTGCGCGCGACGTATCGGGATAAATCGCGGCGCAGAGCCGTTCGCGATGCAATATCGCGACGTTGAATCGTTAATGGATAATTAATAACGCGCGAGTCGACACGAGTGGAATGGCCACCGCGAACATTACGTCGCGTCCAATCCGGCCGGAGAAATGTATCGGTCGCGCGTTAATCCGTGCGGCGGGCGCGTTAACGCGCTACTTTGCGCCCGAGAATTATTGGAGGGTGGTAATGTTGACCTAATATGAGAATTACGATAGCAGTGCGCCGACGAAAGCGGCTCCATAAGTTACAATCAGCCGGCCGCGCTCTATCCACGGGGGCTCCTTCTCTCTCGTTCTTTCTCTCTCTCTCTGTCTCTCTCTCGCCAAAGCATGTCGCTTAAATTATTTCTCAAACGCCCCGCGCGGATTTCTCGTCCTCGCCGCGGGACCTTCTAATCGACAATGCGCGCGCTCTTTTTATTTCCACACGATCGAAGAGGTGGACATGTGCTGTTCCAAAAAACTAAAATCTTAAGGTTCGGGAACTGCACGGAAAAAAAGAAGGTTTGATTGGATTGACCAATTTTCGGTGAAATACGAACGGTTCAGAAGTTGCGGAATTCTCTTTAAGGCTCCTCATATCTCATCGCGGCCGTGTTGAATTTGTGACGTGATGGAACGACATACTGACGGAAGTTGCGTGCCATTTCTGAGTAAAGATAAATGTGGACGAGAGCACTTGAGACTGCTTGAGCATACTTGTAACATTTTAAATTGAAAGGTATCCTTTTCCTCTGGCGATGAATAAATTGTAAAATGAGGCATGCAGACAAAACAGACTTATTTCATCATTTCACGTGTAGAGAAATTTCCAGAGAGAACTAGTTACTAGCCAGAAGCTGGCTAGTTTTTATCAGCTAGGATTTATTACGCAATAACTATTCAGAAACTGGGCAAGAAAATACTGGTCAGTATTTTTTTGCCAATTACTGATTCTAGAAACTAAGCAACACAAAATGATAAGTAAATACTAGGCAGCTCTTCCGTCTAGTAAATTCCGCGAGAAGATCATGGTCAGTTTGTCGCGCGCTGCAATGCAATTTACGTTAACACAGAAACACGTCGTCGTTACATTTACATTCGCCTTCTCTGACGTTTGTCGAGAGGATTGTGAGGAGACTCACGTAGACGCGCGGTCGCGAGAAAAATTCGCCGGACCTTGGAAGGCGCGAGCGACGCCCGCGAGAAATGCCGTCGTTTCTCGTCGCGATAATATTTTCAGTTTTCACGGCGAATCGTGCACATTTCGCACGGCAAGTGGCTCGCGTCCGAGCGAAATAACACAAAGCCGCGTTCGCTCCGCTCAGTCCCGAGTGAGTAAGTCCCGATGAATAAGAATTATCCTTTGGCGATTGAGATCTCCACGCTACGAAACACACGGACGACGCGCTCCAATGCTCTCACTCGCGCCATGAATAAACATCGAGGATGCAGCTTTATTTTTCCTGTGATTGCAGAGCCTCATTATCTCATACTGGAGTACGTCATGTACGGCAAGCTGTTGGCGTACCTGCGCGACCACCGCACCAGGCAGTACTTCTACAACTTCAGCGAGGACTCCGCGGCCTTGACGTCCAGGGACCTCACCGTTTTCGGCTACTGCGTGGCCAGAGGCATGGAATACCTCGCGTCGAAGAAGGTACGAATTATTCTTTTCATGGGAGCAAAATGTAAGCATTCTGCTCCCATTCTGCTTCCTTTGTGCTCCCCAAAATCGCCTTTACATGGAAATTTTGTAGCAAAAGTTGCTGTAGAATTTTCTAACTGAAGAATATCAATATTTCGCCTTAATTTATTGAATGTTTTCCTTTCGGAATGCGACTCAAGTCAACACAAACATCCCTCTGTCTTCGTTACTCATTAAGTAATGCCAAAACGATGTCTATGTCGATTTGTGTTACTATATAGAAAGCACTTATTATCTTCCTGTTTCATATTATTTATATGCTGTTTATATTTTAGAAACTATAGTCTGTTATCAATACATATACATATTAAGTAATTACTGACAATTAATGATTTATTTCTATCAAAGTGGGTAAAATATAACTGGGTTTTAAGAAAATACGTAATGCAAAAGGAAAAATATTTATTTGCTTTTTTTAGTTTTATTTAACGTTAATTAAAATTTTTTAATATATTGTTATAAATTCAAGTAACTTAAATTGTTATAAATTCAAGTAACTTAAATTACAAATCTGTCATTTTGATTATTTTGATAGTTCTGATGTTAAAAAATTTCCATTAAATTAGTTTCCCTATGAGAGTGGTTAAAATTATCGAATTTTGAAAAAATACGTAATGTAAGGGAAAAAATATATATTTACCTTGTTTAGTTTTATTTAACGTTAGTTAAAAATGTACTGTTGTAAATTTAACTAATTTTTATCAGAAATAACGAATCCCCATCATTTTTTGCTTTCGTAGTTTCAGTATTTAAAAAATTTACTCCTTAGCAAAGTTTACTGTTTCTTAGCAAAAATTTAATTGACAATTTATTCTTATTATTAAAAATATGACAAAATTGAAAAGATTTTATGCGAGGAAAAATTCGTGTATAAAAGTGACTTAAAATTAATTTGATTTAACTTGAAACTATGAAAGAGTAATTGTAATTGTCTGATTGCCTTTTATATATATATATGCACAATGCAGTATATGTAGAATTTAAATAAGCTTCATTATTATTATCGGTGTTGACCTTAAGTGATTTTTATGGGAACGGCTGATCCCCAGATATTTATACGTTGCATATTTATGGACGAAGCAAAGGAAGCCGATTCCCACGTGGTTCGTTCACGTAGAATAGCGTCTTTCTTGTTTTTCTCATTTGTCGGCGCGTGCGTGACCGCTACGTGCCATCGAGAAAGAAATTCGATCGAGACACGAAAGGAAACGGAGCCGCGATAGTAAATCTCGTCACGGCACTTTTGGGCCCGATGAAATCAACGCGCGCGCACGACGTTAACAGCCTCAGCCGCGTTGACCTCCTCGGCGATGCAAGCGCGTTACGACATGCACTTATTTTACCTTCTCGCGTCGGCTCGTAATTTCGTGTAAATTTAAGAAACCCATACAACACACACACACACACCCACACATACACGTTCTTAGTTTAATTAAAAATTGCTTCATCTCCATATAATTCCCAGATTTGTTCAATGATTTCGCGTGAAATTTCGATTCACTTTACTTTTCTACAATACTTCTCTCCGTGCAATTCGGATGTAAAGTTACAAAAACAAAATCTCGCGCTACGCCGATCATCATGCCAACACACATCCCCTAACAATCCTTGATGACGTTACGTTATATCCCTCGGTGATGCGCCATCGATGTGTAATACCGCGTCAATTAACGAACCCTCATTATGCAGAAGGCTTATTTATAGACCGAGGCCTCGACGCGGCTAATTACCGTTTTGCCAGAGAGAGAGAGAGAGAGAGAGAGAGAGAGAGAGAGAGAGTTACTCTCAGTAAACACACAGTATTACACAAACAACAAAATCCCGCGTTATTATGTCAATATATCTTGCCAGTCCTCGTTATATCAATCTCTTTCGACGAGCCCTCGAGAGAGGCCGGCATTGAATTTGCACGTGATAACGCGCCAATTAATTTCGCTTTATTATTTCGCTCGTCTGCGAATCGAACATCCGTGCGGGTCTCGCGCGATATAACTAATTGTCGCCGCGTCAGTAAAAAAAAGTCGCTTCAGGAACGAGGCAGAGAACCGCTTTGGCGGCCGTTCTTTCCCCGTGTTTTCCTCTTTCTTCCTTTGCGACGGCATCCCGTGCGACTCCTTACGACATACCGCCGGGACCGCCGGACGCGCGAAAGGGTGGAAAGGAGTCGCGATAAATTTCGGGACGACACCTCGGCGAGATCGATACACGCTGCGGTCGTTTAACATGTTTAGCCGTTGGTCCTGCCGTTAATCCTCGCGCGATTGGCCCCTTGATCGGCGGAAATGCAATATTGTGCTCAAAAGGTGGCTTTAACTGACGAAAACGTTATATTGCATTTTAATACTTGATTTTCTGGCTCTTTTTTAATATCTCAGTATTTATAAAATTGGATATTCGGAGGTTTTTGAGGTCATTCCATTCAATGGTGAATTTTGGAACTTGGCGGATGTAACAGCCGACTAAAAATTTAGAAAAATATAAAAATTTTGAAATATTGACACAAAATTTTAATTGCTTAATTTTAGAAAACCCATATTTTGCCAACTTTTGCAAAAGAGCAATGCTGAAAGAAAAAGATTATCTTATAAATATCAATAAAAAAATCAATAAGACCACTAGAAACTTCTTTTGTTCACAATCGTTCACTAAAAAGCATTTGCTGAGAAATGAAAATTTTCTGTAGAAAAACTGTATTTTTTCACAAAGTTCCTCAAGATTACTTTAAGCTTCATGGGGCTCAAAAACATAAGAATAGTCCGATTTCATAAATTTCCTTTACGGGAAAATTTGAGTTCTTCTGCATTGTTTTTTAGTTTGCCAATCAAGGATTTAAAGGACCCGTCGCTGTTGCCCGTGAACCTTTACGAACTGAGTCGTTTCCGATATTTCTTCTCAAATAATCCGTAAAAATTTAATTTACTTGGCGAGCAAGTAGTTTGCATTTTTCTCAATACTTCTTAATGTCTGTATGGTAATGTGGATAACAAAAAGAAATCACAAGAATTGTATTTCACAAGATTGCTGTGCAAAATTGCACTACACTGGCTTCCCGGGTTAATAAGCAAAAGGTCATTGATAGAACCAAATAGAATGAAACGCGGTGTCGAGGTGATACACAAAGAACCGCAAAGAGGTAATTAATTTCCAGGACTCGGCCGCTGGTCGAGTGTCTCGATGCGTCGGATGATTTTTCAAGCCGCAACATTTTGCTGCTGTCGCGTGATCGTCGCACTTATCGCGCACTTAACAGCCTTTACGGCCAATTACCGTTAACTCCGTCCTCATTCGCGAGATACGGCTGGCGGCCGATTTGGAATATGGATCGCACTTGCGGGTTATGAATAGAAAAAAAGTAAAAAACGAACGCGCGCGTTAATGCGCGGTTGTATCATTGCCGCTGCCCCCCTTCTGGGTCCCCGCGGTCGAGAAGCTTCAATGCACGATTTTAATATCTCCTCTTTACGAGCAGACGAGGAAAAAACGGTTTCGCGAAGCGTTTACGGCTACACGAGGAACTCGGCAATGCTTTCGACGCAGTTTTCCCGCCGCGGCACCCCAAATCGACAACCCTTACAACCCGGAAAGCCACTGCAGTGCAATTTTGCGCAGCAATCTTGTGAAATACAATTCTTGTGATTTCTTTTTGTTATCCACATTTTCCATACAGATATTAAGAAGTATTGAGCAAACTGCTTGCTCGCCAAGTAAATGACATTTTTACGAATTATTCGAGAAGAAATACCGGAAACAACTCAGTTAGCCACCCGAATTATTCGAGAATCCTAAAATCCGCTCGTGCGCGAGGAGGAGGTAGATGGAGATAGATAAGGGAACCCGGCGTAAATTTCTCCACCCACGTGATCGCGAGGAGAACGACGGGAAAGGGGAACCTTCGAGGACAACTGGCACTCCGTGGAAGGTCGCGCGGGCATCATCCGCTGCCTGACAAATAGTCGCTAATGACGTTTCATTCCGTACGTTTTCGCACGGTCGTAAAACTTCCGCCGTGACGTTTGGCCGCTCGTCTCGGAGGACGCGGTCTCACCCGAGGATCTGTGTCACTAGGCAAAGATTAACTCTTATTTCTCGCACGAAACGAGCTCGAGGATAATCGTGCACACGGCGAAAATGTTGCAGCAAAAAGCACGTCAAAATTATACCTCTTTTTACAACATGGAACAAAAGGTTTGGTTACATCAAACTGAATTAACGTGAAAATTAACGTGAGACGCAACCTTTCTTTTTAGTCAACCTTTCCTCATGATATTGTTACGTTAATTTTAGGGCTATTCACGTTGATTGTTAGGATAAAAGGAAAGTTTTCGGGATATTTTACGAACGTGCTCGATCGATCACAAGTATCATTTTATGGACATAACTTTTTACTTTGACTTTTTACTGTTCTGCAAGAATTTTGGGCATGTTTTCTCTCTTTTGACGTCATTAATCAAGATAGCCACAAGAACATTAAAGTTAGAGGAATTTCGTCTTTTATCTACGGAACAAATCCTGTTTTTAATCGAAATTTCTTTTAGTAAAAGGACATTCTGCTTCAAGTAAACATATTTCTCTTGATTCAAAAGTGAAAAGTTGAAATAATATCTAGTAGAAAGTCGGAATAATATCTTTTTTTTAATAGATGTCCGATTAATAGTTTACTTCAATTAAAGAAAAAAACTCTTTCGACAATAATTGTCGCTCAGAATATGAGAAATTATAAGAAATAGCACTTTGCAATTAGAATTCTTTTTTTCAATATTTTCTTTTTGGTCTTAGAAGAGTTCTAAAAGATGTTATCCGTTAAGAATGAAATTTTTTAAGTATTCAAATAATAAACTTTCTTCACGAAGGAATTCAAAACTCGAGACAATCGAGGGATGGCAAAAGTAAGTCACAAAAAATAAGTGTAAATATTATTATGATTGAATTGTATTTTATGATAATAATAGGAGACTAAAGCAGAAATTTGCAAAAAAGAGATCAAAATTTTTACAAATGCTTAATAATTGGTAGGCTGTTTATCAATTAATTCAATAATTGCAAATTCAAGCAGCAACAAATATTGTTGCGCCAACATGTTCATATTTTATTGAACAAAGATCGCCGATTTTGCTGAGCTATTTTTTTCCTCCTCAATGTACGCGATTGCTATTAATGGACGCTATGAAGTAACACACGCGTTTAACATTTGCGTTTCCATTCACACATGGATGATTCACAAAGTTACTCGGAAGTTCATAAATGTAGCAGCCGATTGACATGCGTCACAGCCGTCTAATAAAGAGAGAAGTCGATGCACCGAAGTCAACGGGGTGTTTGTCGTGACATAAATACCGCGATGCAAACCGGTATCTCTTACAGAATCCTTCGAATTCATCGCGTAAACAGTCGAGTCGAATGTCGCGCGCAACTCTGTCCATTCACCGCATTCGCGTTCGTCGATTCATGCACCGACTGTCACAATTGACATCACTTTATTCCGAAAAATCAGCGTCTCATTTTAATATATTAATGAATTATAATTATTTTTCTTTCGGTTTGGAAGAGAAGATTACTCTAAAACCAAAGAAAAGTATTCAACAACACATTTTTATTTCCTCTTTTTTAATTGTTCTTTCACATTTCTATATAGATTTTTTATTTTCTTTTTTATTATATTGCGGTTTATATGATGAAACGCCATTATGATGGCAAGTATCCGATTAAATGTATGTCCTGATCGAACATAAAAATTGATCGGAATATGATCGGGAATATCCGTTTGTTAATGTTTTATCGAAGAATTGCTCTCAGTGCTTCGTCTCGCCATTGCCTCGAGGTAGAATAATTCTCGCGTTCGTCCGCGCGTCGGGAAGGAAGCGACCGCAAAGGTCCACTGCGAAAAACGCGACAGGATTTGCGAAAAAGAACAAAGATGCACCTGACGACTGGTAATTAGAGTAACAAGGAGCGAATCGTTCATTATTATTCCCGCGTGAGCACTCGATCGAACGTCTTATTACCTGTTTCCGGCCTTGTAATAGCTTCTGGGAAACGGCGCGGCAAAAATGATTTTCCCGAGTTTTAACAGACATTTACGGAACGCGGGACTAAATGACAGTACATGCGCGCGCGCGTGTCGTGCTAGCTGCGGACACGCGTGGATGCGTCTCTCGGATGCCGCTTTTCATTCAAGCAGAATGCGGTATTTCATAACCGCGCGTTTGCGTAACGTGTGTGTGCCACGACGTGGCGCATGATAATTGATAATTATTAGAATTTTTCGTCTTGCCTCTCCTTTCTTCTTTTCTCCGGCGGAATTTTATTTTCGAACAAAATGCGCTTGGCTGGAATTACCGGCGACTAATGACCTATTTCTGTCAGAATGATCAAAATGACAGATTTTTGAAGGAAATATATAATGCAAGGGGAAAAATATGTTTGTTCACTCTTTCTAACTTTAGTCAACATTGGATTGGAAGTATAAAATGCGTTGTTATAAAATTGGGAGACTTTTGTGAGAAACAACAAACTCCTTTTTCTCTGTTTTGGGATTTTCTAAATTTCCTGGAGTAGATTTCCATTCAAAACAAATAAAAGTGGCAGCATTTTTCACTCAAAGCAAAGTAAAAAGAAACAGCCACATTTTTGTCAAGCTAAACTATATTAAAATTGCGACATAAATTATTATATGAATAGTAAATCTAACGATGTCTACCGATATTTACAATATAAGAAACATTCAAATTTTGTAGCGGAAAATCAAGTAAGCATAACATTTTTCAATAAGTATACAGCAATTTCAGTTATAATTTCCTATGGTCTTAGTTTACAAAAGTTTTATTGTAATAATATTGTTTTAAAAAAATGTTAACTTTATTAACTTAAATATGGAGAAAAACTTAAGTATGGAGAAAAAATTTATTTCAGTAACTTGTGTTACTTACGGTAACTAAATTATTTAATTATTTAATAATTAAATATGAGGAATTCATCTCAAAACAATATTAACACTTATATGGAGAAAAAGTTACTTATATATAGTAAGTGTTAATATTTTATTGAAGTACTCCATATTTACTAAAACATTTTCTGCGCATAGTTCTATTAAATTAATTAAAAACGACCAATTCAAACACTAATTATGGTTAATAAGGTTAATAACAGCTAATTCAGATACGACGAACAAGGATTACTTGATTTATTTTTCCGGTAAAAGCAACGTATTTTTGTTTTCCACCGTCGAGAGACCGAGTAACCGCGATTGTCTCTTTTGTCGCGATACAAATCACGCAGAGACAGACCTGTTGATAAAATTTGTATTTGCAATTATTCATCCTTCCCAGAAATCCTCACTTACAATATTGCAGCCGGGTGACGTTACGGGATCCGACCCGTGTGTTTCGTTTGACTGAAGCAATATTTGCCTTCGCGCGCGCATTCAGAGACGTGGTGGTGTTTCTTTCCACCGACGACGCTGTGTCGCCGCGAGTCCCACATTTTGTCGCGCTCGAGCTGTCCGAAGCTCGAAGGCCGGGTTTTTCTGGAAAGCAAAAGAAAAGTAAAAAAATAAACGGGACATCGACACTGAACTCTCTCCTGTGATCGCCCGTGTCATTTCCCGATCGTGCGAACGGCTGTGAGCGCGAAACCGCGGTCACACTATAACGGAAACGCGCTCCTTGCATCATCATGTTATCTTTGGAGCACAGAAAACTTATCTCGGATCTGTTGTCCTTGTATAATATTAACTGGAACTACCCGACGTTGCACGAGCTATCACAAAGTCTCATGATGTGTTACTAGCTAGAATGAAATTTCTTGCAAGTGTATACAATAACTTTTGATAGAAGCATTTTCCAAAGAAATGTTTCAGGCAAAGTTTACTTGTAGAATCCAAATATGTAACATTGTATAGGGGGTCCCCTATTTGAAACTTTAAAGTTACCTCTCGCCCCTCTTCAAGGGGGGATAGAAGTGGATTTTTGTTTACGTAGTTAGAAAGACCCCTCGAATATATAAAACTTTCTCATGAACAACTTTTTGATAGGACAAATATGTTTAGAGTTATTAGTTTGTAACACTTTACGTGGGTCACTTTGCATATTGTTTCTAGTAAGAAATCCCGAGTCGAAATTTTGACCCTATGTTGAACTTTGAATTTTACACCACAGTAGGAGCTAAGATAGCAAAATAGGTTTAATTCCAATGATATAATTTACTTTGATCCTGATGATGTCTGAAATTTCCATATTTGCTTTCTTTAACGTTTCGAAGTAGGTTGTACAATAGTAGGATCTTAGAAAGCAAAGTAGATTCAGTTGCGAACCTCTATTGAAGCTTCAGTCCCTACATAAAATATATATATTTTGTAGAAATATTTAAAAAAAATTAATAAATAACAAAACAGAAACGTCAAATAGCATATAAAATATACATTTTATTTGTTGCATATATTTCAGACATCATCAGGATCAAAGTAGGAGTAAATTGTATCATTAGAATTAAACCTACTTTGCTATCTTAGTTCCTACTGCGGTGTAGAATTCAAGGTTCAACGTATGGTCAAAATTTCGACTCGGAAATGAGTGTCAATATTGTCAAAATAAGTTTCACCTAGGTTGTAGATTATTTAAGAAGGCTCAAACTATTTTTTAGAGCGTCAAAATAGCGTCAAAATTTTGACAAAGTAGAATTAAAGTTTCAAAAAAGAAATTAATGAGTATCAATATCGTCAAAGTAGGTTTTACCTAGACTATAAACCGTTTAAGTAGGCGTAAACTATTCTTAAGAGCGTCAAAGTAGCATTAAAATTTCGACTTGGGAATGCAATTTTCATTCATAAAATGATTGAAATAGAGCATATATAAGAAGTGGTATAAAGTGTGCTATTAAGGGCCCGTAGAAGGTCTGTGGAGACCTCTCGCGGAGACTTTGGAACTACTAATCAGGATACATATATTATGGGTGGCCTTCTTTACCCTGCGCTCCTGGACAGCTGAACCCGGTACCAGGACAAGATAGCTATGTTGCTGCATGTTTTTTCGTTATTATAAAATAAAGTATACGGTTAACAGGAGGTTAATACATGAAAGAAGATTGCCTCTATCATGTTTACACAACAATTAGTTGCTTAAGAAGTTGTGACTTCAAAATTCTAAAATATAAAACATCTAACCCTGGTCTTCCCTCTCTCTACTAATAATTATATTATTATATTTTTTTTAATAGATAATTTAATAAACTTTTTTTTTTTAATGAAATATTGTCAAAAACACTAAATAGCAAAAGTGGCGCGTTTCAATTGCCCGATACTAAGTGGTCTCTATTGATATCAATACTTAAAGATACTTAAAGAATTAATATAATATGTCGCAAAGTATACTGAAAAGCAAACTAATTAATCTTCTTTTAATTGACCTAATTTGTAATACCTTTTCTTTTTTTTTATTAAATTTTTTATTTTTTTTAATTTTTATTAAATTTTTTATTTTTTTTTTATTAAATCATTTTATATTTAAGTGTTTTTGTCTTTGTATGAAGGGATGAAATCTTTCTTCCGTATTGTTATACTTAATAATTAAATAAATAAGTCGCCAGTCTTAAAATGGTTTCCATGTTCAAGATGATTTTAACACTGACTTTGTTGTGCGCAGATCATCCACCGCGACCTCGCCGCCAGGAACGTCCTCGTGGACCACAATAAGCTGTGCAAAATTGCTGACTTTGGCATGTCGAGGTTCGCCAACGAGGACGGCGAGGTGATCGAGACCAGACACGGCAGGAACGCTTTGCCCATCCGGTGGATGGCCCCTGAGTCCTTGATCTATTCTCTCTTCACGACCAAGACCGACGTATGGAGCTTCGGGATCCTCATGTGGGAGATCGTCACCTTAGGTAAGAGTCTTGGTCATTAACTCGTTACCTAGAACAAATATTGACCGATCAAGAGAAAGAGAGAAAGAGAGAGGGAGAAAGGCCGATCGTTGTCTCATGCATTGTTTAGTGTGAAAATAAAGAGATACGTGCGTCAACGTGTTTAATCAGCGTGGAAATATCGCGAAACGGGCGCCAAAAATAACACGGTCGATATTTACCTCGTTAATCGACGAAATATTATCTTTGCGTTAATGTCAACCGCGAATGTATTCAATTCGTTTTAATGTATGTATGTTTTAATAATGGTAAGTGAGAAATTTTAATAATGGTATGTGAGAAAAACGATATCTAAAAAATATAAAAAAATATTTTTTAGATACTAATAATATATTTTCTCATGTAAATATGCATATTTTTATATTTAAAAAAATCTTTTTGAAATGAGGAATATACATTTTTCTAAAACTGTAACTTTTCATAAAAAAGCAATTGATTATTCTGTTTGACTAAAGGAATGTAAATGTTTTTATTTAAGTAAAATATAAAATATTTAATAAAATATGGTATTTAATAAAGAATAAAATATTTATTTGAATTATTCTATTTAAACAAAATTATTTAAATTCTTTCATTTTAATAGAAAGAAAATATATTATTAGTACCTGTTGAACAAGTATTTTTATTTTTTAGTTATTTTTATTCTTAGATACTTTTATAATATTTTATTTTCTTATTCTATTTTATTATATATTATTTATTATATAATTTATTTATATAATACTATTTTATTATTTTATTTTATTTTTAAATATTATTTCTTTCAGTGTAAAAAATATGATAAAATCGAAAAGAATGTATATGAAAAAAACTATATAATATTTTCTCCGCGTAACTATACACTAAAATAGAAAGAGCTACGTATACGTCGGGTCGTGATTCTTTAATAACCTTTTTCCGGTTCTGTTTCCGCTGCCTTTTATCGTCGCGTCGACCCAAAATGGGGTGTGCGCGATACAGTCCGCGCGAAAAGGGCCCGTTTTGTAGCTTGTTAGAGCGCCGTTACGTTGCCCGTCGATAAGCCCGATATGCGCGACGGTAGCCTCGGCGCGTTCCCCGTCGGCCGACAACCTATCGTAATGATCACAGCACCTTGCGCTGCTTCAGGTTCAACACCGTACCCGGATATGACGGCGCGGGAAGTCATGCGGAACGTGCACAACGGTTATCGACTGGAAAGGCCTTCGCACTGCCGAAGCGAGCTCTTCAGGGTGATATCGCGCTGTTGGCACGCCGATCCCGACCGCAGGCCGGAATTCCAGACTTTACGCAGGGATCTCGCTCAGCTACTGGAGGACAACATGAATGGACACTACGTGGACCTCGAGAGCTTCGCTTCCGAGTGCACCGATTGAGGCAATTCTCAGGGCTCGTCGTTGGATCCTCGATCGTATCCCCGACCGCCATGGGAAATCGATTCTGCGCGATTTGATTGCGCGGCTCTCCCTCGAGAAAGAGAGAGAGAAAGCGAGACGTTTCCTCGATCCCCGAGCGCGACTTTTCTCCTGCTCCACGAGGAGAACCACGATGCCGAGATCACCTTTTCTCGAGAGATTCGGGGATTCCTCTCGGTACTTTTGAGCTCAAAAATTTTTTGCAGAATGTATCGGTGACTGAACGTGCGTAAAGAGATGCCGTGCGCTTGAGGACGGAAGTGGAGACGTTTAGTCACAAGTTTTAAGACGAAGAAGGAATGTCGAATCGCCGCGATTTCTCGCCGAACCGCTCGCATTTGCACGGGTAATTGTAAAGCGCCGCGACGTTAATTCATCAATTACCGAGGACACGGTAGTGCTCACGAACCGATCGTAAGAGTTAGTCCTTATCTTCGAGTCGACTTATAGTCGATGAGCTTTCACGATTCATTGCGGGTACGTTGATTGCGCGTGCTTCCTCTCGACGCAGAACAAAAAATGCAGTTTGTAACGCGCGATGCTGTGATAAACGATGAAAATAAAGAAAAATAAATTATACATATGTATATGTATATATATGTATGTATATATACGTGTATATATAATATATAATATTATACATAATATATAATATTATATATTATGTATATTATATATTATATATAACGCTGTTATATATAACATATGTATATATAACGACGATGCACGCTGAGGAAGCGTAACAGGAGTTTATAGAAATTGCAAGGTCTTTAAAAAAGAAATGGTATTTATGAGAAATTGTTTTTCATTATTTTATTATTTCATTAGAATAAAATACTAGAGATGTGCGAACAGTTTGAATTCGAATCAAATCAAGTGAAATTCGATTCGATTCAAATTCGAATCCCTACGATTCGAATACGGATCACGCACATTAGCATTAACGAAGAACTATTAAAGACATCCGCCTTACGGAAATTAGCATGATTTCAAAAGTTTGCTATACATTAAGATTTTCTTCAAAAATATTAAACGAAGATAATAGCTCCTAGATAAACTCTTACCGACACTGTTGGATCGATATGTGTTCTTTCAACGATTCGATTCGATTCGGCTCAAATTCGAAGTTAAAATTTGAGACTCGATTCGACATTAAAAATCTTTGATTCGCACATGTCTATAAAATACCCAATTATACACCTTCTCTTAGTCTACAAGGTTTTTCTAGAGCGTCAATGAGTAATTAAAACTTTTTTGCCCTTATCTCGATCTCTCAATTATTTTTTACTTGAATATATAAGCAATAAAATTTAAGTATAATTTTTAACAAAAATTTCAATTAGAATGAAATTATTCGGTATTCTTCAGTGATTCGCGCCTATTTAATCTTCTACCCTTTCTCCTCCCTTATCTTTTTTCTTGTCCTTTATCTTTTATGTTTTTTATGAGCGAAAAGATCGCGTTGAATCGACTAGACGCACTCGCGTCGTGGAAGCTCGTCGCCGACTCGAATTAGTCGCGAGCCCCATCGTGGGAGAATCCGGCAGGTGGATTCGCGAAACCACAGCGGACGGTCATGTATCTTCAGCAATTCTTTCCGTCCCGAAATCTTTCGCCCTTTCGGCACTTATTTATTATACTCCGAAGCCCAATTACGCACACCTCGGTAGAGGATAGGATACACGGCAGAGGATAGGATAATCACGTGTGCTACGGAGGAAGCTGCACTTCGCAGACACAACGGGACTTGATTCCGCGTCCAGACGCATCTGTACATATTGTATCCCTCGCGCTATACATACCTGTAGATGTACGCAAGAAACAAAATGCAAAACGCACTATATACTCGCCGGAAATCAAACAAGAAAATAGATGTTCTCACACAGTACGTACAAACACACTCACACACATATACACACTAGAGATGTGCGAATCAAAGATTTTTTATGAATCGAATCTCAGATTTTAATTTCGAATGCGAATCGAATCGAATCGTTAAAAGAATTTCTAATTAACATAATTATTGAATTTAACAACTGAAAATTATTGAAATTATTGAAAATAGTGACTTCAGTAACTAACAGAGAGAGATAACATTGATCATGTGATATCAATTCATTTTAAAATAAAAGATATATAATATAGTCAGTAAACGTGTATGGAATACAGTTCCAATCTTGAAAGCTGCGCAACGACACATATCTATACGACAGTTGTCGGTAAGAGTTTATCTAAAAGCTATTATCTTCTTTTAATATTTTTGAAAAAAATCTCAATGTATAGAAAACTTTTCAAGTCATGCTAATTCCCGTAAGGCTGGATGTCTTTAATAGTACTTCATTAATACTAATGTGTGCGATTCTATGAAACTTTTATTTCGTATTTGAAACTTTTATTTATGTATTTGAAACTTTTTGTTTCGAAATATTCAAATAACTCGGATTCGAATCGTAGGGATTCGAAATTGAATCGAATCGAATTTCACTTCGATTCGATTCGAATTCGAATAATTCGCACATCTCTAACACACACTGATACCGTATCGACACTGTCATAACGCCGTAATAATCTTATCAACGCTAATGAATTAATTAATTACTCGTCGTTAGGTGTACGTGCATCCATGTTTCCAATCGCGTCCGGCGCGTTTATATTCTTAATCATTCTAGTCTTTCGACGCGTTCTGGGGACGGCGATTGGTGTATATCGCAGACGCACGCCGTCTTTCATTCAGTGTTTCGGGGCATTAATCGGTTAAAATTTCCTTCGACTAATATAACCGGCAAATTACTTATCAAAACTAATACGCAAAATCACGAATAATTTAATATCCAAAATTTATAGCAATTCACATCTGGAAATGCATTCTTCTTCCTTTGTAGTGTCTTTCATGTGACTATATTATATTATATATATATATATATATATATATATATATATATATATATATATATATATATATATATATATATATATTTGGCGTAAGACGCTATCGCATCTCTTAATCGATTGATGAAATCAGTTATTAATCCTTACAATCCTGACGATCTTTTAGCGACTGTTGCAGTTTTTAAACTAGAACTTTTTCATACATATCATAGGATAGATTGGTAAAAATACAAGTCGGATTGATTAATCAATATATAATCACTCAAAGTTCGATTAATAATTAATTTCATCAATCGACTAAATTATTTGTGGTTATATAAGGCGAGTTACCTAAAATATCCCTTGTTTTTTTTTATATTAAAAGAAAATGCGTAAGGAATAAATTGTTGTAAGAATTGGCCGATCACGATATTTATCCCTTTCTAACCACACAATTTATTCCTCATATTTATTCTATACTTCATTCTACAAATTTACATCACATCTTCCTTTAATATGAAAAAAAAACAAAAATATTGTAGAATTTAACATTAGATGACTTATTAGAATTTAACATTAGATGACTTATTCTTTACGATTGAGTTAGCTTATCAATTTGCCGATTACTTTAGTCAACTAAGGGTCCCAACTTCTTGATAAGCTAACAGTTAAATCATGTGTCTGTCTTTGTATAATTTGAAGAAAGAACAAAGATAGATATACGAATTAACTGTAGTAGATAGCTTACTAAGAAGTTGGAAGTTAGAACACAATCGGCCCTTAGACTCTAATCGATCAATGCCCGACGCTGCTTTCATCACCTCTATCGCGAATTCGCTCGAAGATCGCGACAGCACGCGTGTTGCGCGATCGCTCCGGAGAACGGATTAGAAGCCCCCACCAGTTGATTATTTTATTAAGTATTTTTATCTCGCTGTCTCCGAGACGACGTCATTTTCTCGCACTTCTCGAGACGGTGGAGATATCCGTCTTCATTATCTGTCGTCGTTGCTTGAGACGTCCCGTTCTCAAAGTTATATTGCGTTTCAGGCGTGCAAGAGAGAGAGAGAGAGAGAGAGAGAGAGAGAGAGAGAATGAAAGAGCTGTTACTTCCGCAGAAAATTGGCTGCGACCAACATTGTATGTAAACTCGATTGTACTAAGAATTTTTGTCAGTAAACGTTATGAGAAAATTTATACGATCGCACCGTCTCGTTAATAAAACCAAGTTAGCGTTTCGACACGCGTAATTGTAAGGTACGTAATGATACGTGAAATACGTACGCAAAACTCACATTACCTCCGCTGAAGTCGACGAAAGCGCGATACAAATTGTCGCATACGTGACAATACCGCGTTTTCTCCGCGGCCGCGGCTTCCTTCGCGAAACGTTTAAAATAGATAGCCTCGGAACCGCGAAAAATACCGACGTGAATTATGGTGAAATGGCCATCGCGTTGCGCACACGCGCATTAATTATCTCAGAAACCGCTCCCCCCTCCCTCCCGCCCCGCGATCGTTTGCCGCGCGGCGCGCAGTAATAAAACGTAATCTTGTCCAATGACCTTACCTATTCCGTAGCGCGAAGTAAAATCGCCGAGAGTCGCATTCTTGCGTCTTCACAGCAATCACAAACCGTGAATATATCTCGATTCTCAAACTTTTTAATTAAAAAAAATCACAAGAAGATATTCCGCGCACGCCAAGTCTCGGATGCTAAACGGATTTGAAAACATCGGAAGTAGCCATAAGTGCTCAAGTATTTATGAGACTTATTCTTATTACTGTCCACTCTCATCTTTAGCGAAATCTTTTGAATCTTAAAGAACTTTGTTCTTAAAGATTCATATGGCTCATAATACTCTTAAATATTTTACTCTTAACTTTCCATTGCCCTTATTTGATTAACGAATGTTAGTGCTTTCGTGTGAGCGAAATGCCGCGCACCTGTTATTAATTAAATTTTTTTCAATGAAAATATAATTATTATTGCATTAATACTTCATAAAAATGGATAAATGTATTAAAACATTGATTTATTATCAATCCATCAGAGTAAAACTTAAATTTAGTAACAGCATGAGTCGCATTAACTTTACATATTTAATGTCGCTATAAGCGCGCACCAACACTTCCAGAGTCTATTCATAAAAGTTATATTAACGAAATCAAGAAAACGACAATACAAATATAACCTAAAAGGTTGCAAATGAAAAGCCAAAAAGTTGCATTTTGCAACAAGAATTTTTTTTAGACATTAATAACAATATTAACTTATAGTACACTAAGAGAAATTATCTGCTAAAAAATTAACAAACGGATCAAAATACCAAGAAACTTTTGTATCCGATCAGAAAACATCCAAAGAGAAATATCGGTTCATAATTTTTTCATCGGTTTATCTGATGAAATGCCATTATGGTCGGAAATATCCGATTAAATTTAATCGGATATAAAAATTTGGAATTTGATCGGAAATATCCGTTTATTAATTTTTTGTCGAGTAATTTCTTTCAGTGTACAAAAACATGAAAAAGAGAGAGAGAAAGTGAGTTCAAAGATCGAGTTTTTCGTGTTCGAATCGCTGAAAGCTGCGCGGAACAAAGGAAATCTCTCTTGAGCAAGGATTTTCTCTGGAAGGCGTTCTTAGACTGCCGGTGCCGCGGCCGGCCGGGCGCTTCCTCCTCTTTCAATTAGAAGGCGGGCTTCGCGGGTTTGCCTTCGGTCTCTGTGATTTATGAAATCACATCCGCGGGCCGGAGACTTGCCGCAGATTTACGGCAACGGGAATATAGATTTATGCGCGCGAGCGCGCGCCGGACGAGATAAAGGCGCAGTATGCAAATATGTCTGGCGCGTTTTGTCAAAGTCCGCGGGCGAAAAGGAGGCGGACAGCGAGGGGAGATTTACAGGTGCCACCGCGCGGCCGC